GTGGTTAGAAAAATGTGTTAGAACTATGATGGTTCTGGAGAAAAGAAAAAGACTAGAAGGGGGTTAAATTGTGTCAATCAAAAACTCAATATTTTTTTTGAAACAGTGAAGTAGTATCAAAGGTCTTATGAGTACAAACAAAGAGTCAAGAAAAAAGAATACACAATATTTTTATACCGGTTCGTCTTAACCTTTAAGACTATAGGTTCAGTTCTTGATACACATGATCAAGTTTTACTATCTTTCACAAAGTTATAAGTATTTTTTCACAAACTTTGACTCAATTTAAGTATTATTTGACTTGCTTCTTCAAGCAATTACCAAAGTATTCTTGGAACAACCAAAGTCTCTTCAAACTTCAACAACCAAGTATTCTTTTATAGTCAAGTCAAACCTCTTCAAGCTCAAAGCAATAACACAAAGTTAAAGCTAAAAAGTCACTTATTGTTTCGTCTTACTATTAGTATGTAATACAACCAATTTAAGAAGAAAAGTTTTTTTACAAAAAGGTTGAATATGAATTTTTACAATTGATTTTTCTATCTTCTTTCTAAGTCTTCAAGCTTCTTTAATAGGTGTTTTGTGAAGATTATTGTTGCAAATCCTTGAGCATCTCTTATGGACTTACTCCATCTTCCTTATTTTAAAGAAACAGTGTCTATTGGTGCATTAATTGTGAGTATTAAATATTTTTCACCAAATGATCACTTCTTATTTAATCAAGGATTGTTATTTTTCACCTTTTTGGTATCAAACAAAAGGAGTTGTTGCATATGTTAGTCAAGAATGACTTTTTCTAAGATTTTGCATGCTTCAAGAGATTTGTTTATCCTTTCTCTAACGCAAAAGATGTCTTCATTCATTTTTGAAGTATGTGTACCGAAGAAACATTTTATTCCTTTTAATCTATTTGAAGAATATCATTGAGAAATATGATTTAGTTAATAGACATCATAAATGATATATAATAAATGCATTAGTCTTTCAGATGAAGTAGTTCATTTGAGAGACTACACATCATTATAACCAATCGTCTATATTTATTCGTCTTTTAGTATGATCTGAAAAACATCTAAGGTTATTATCATTAAAACTTATACCCTAAGAGATTTAAGATCATTTTTTGATCTAATGATCGTCTTCAATTTGATAATGATAAACACGTTTTTGAAAAGAAAAAATTTTATGCACAATCATAAAATTTTTTAACAAAACATATATACCTATTTAGAGCAAGTGTTCTTGACATGTTTAGACAAATTATATAACCTTTTTAATATAGTCATTCAAACAATCAGAACTTTTATCCAGCCATATATATCTGCGATTATAATTTCATACATTTTGTCAAAGCATATATATATATATATATATATATATATATAATCATACTATATATTAAAACATATCAAGCATTTCATGCATAAGTGTCAAAGCATACATAAAGATTTTCGAAGTGAATATAAACTTATAATAAACTTTCTCTGAAATGGAGGGATTAAGTTTGAAGTTTTAAAAACAAAAATTCAAAAACTATAATAACTATTGTACTCTCCTTTACGATACCAGCAAGAGTTGAGACCAAGGCAAAAACAAAATTTGAGCAAAGAAGCACTAGCCTAAAGATTCTTTGTCCAAATTAACTTCCATATAAAGCTTGTTAAGTAATTTCTGGTATTTATGATCAGAGGCGTTGTTGTTGACGAATGAATTGTTGGAGAGAGAATACTAGGGTGTTGACCATTAGTTTTGAAACCATTTCTAAAGCTACAGGAACCTCTTCAGACAAAGGTGGAAACACTTGTTCACTCTATTCATGTAGAGGAAGGGAAATAATAGTAAGTGATGTGAATCCAGCAGGGTAAAATTGAAGACTAACAAGTCCAAAGTCATATGATAAAGAAGAAGGATTAATGGGCTGGAATTTACGTAGTTTGGGGCTGAATAATTAAATAAGTCCATTATCTTATTTTTTTAATGTAATTTTATTTTTATTTTATTTTATTAAATAAATCTGATGGGTTTCCTTGCCTTTTAGGTTGCTAAGGGGAAATAAGTGCTAGTGGAAATTAGTGAGAATTTATTGCTTAGTTAGTGGGCTAGTGAGGAGTCAATTCTAGTGGATATTAAGTGTTAGTGGAAATTTATGTCATCTTGCCCATCTAAGCTTATAAATAGGAACTTTTTGTAAAAATTTTAGAGGGAGAGAAAATGATTTATTCAGAATTTGGATATTTTTCCAATTGAGAGGATTTTCTCTAGGTTCTTAGGAACTACTTTTGATTCTTATCCTTGAATTTCCTAATTCAAAATGGCGAATCTTCCTCAATTTATCAATCTTTAGGATTGTAGCGTTGTTCTTCCATTTCTTACCTCAATCCATATTTTTTTCTTTTAATTTCTTAATTATGAGCTTTCCAACCTAGATAGATCCGTAAAACAAATCCATCCCTCTGGGTTCATATCATTTGGTATCAGAGCTTTAGCTTTAGGTTTGGAATGGAAATGGAAATTTACTATACAAGATGTTTGGTTGAAGACTCTCTGTTCTTGGTCACAGTAGATGAATTCAATTTCAGAAATGTCGTGAGCAGCAGGTTGGTTGAGAAATTATGTCTGCCCACTACAAATGGACAAGCAATGATTAAATTCTCTATTTGAAAATATGAAGATGAAGTTCTTTGTGATATTGCCCCATGGAGACATGCCATATGTTATTAGGGAGGCCATGGCTATATAATAAAATTATAAATCCTGAACGACCTTCTATTTCTTTTGTGCATGGTGGACGAAGGATTAAGTTGATATGTCTATCATCTGACGTTGTACATGAGGATCAACTGAAATTGAAAATAAAGATAGAAAAAGAAAGAGAAGAGAAGAGGAGAGCAAAAGATGAGATACATAGAGAGGAAGATGACAACCCTAACGTTACATTTTCTTCTTTTGATGTGTCAAATTTACAGGATCAGAAGGACAAGTTTTCTTGTTTGAAGAAGCATGTCAACATCATTCTTAATGCACCTTTATACATTCACTCCACCTTTCAAAATAAAATTCAAGAGACCTTGCACCTGAAAAATGGAGTTGATTTGTTGTTTGAAGTTACTATTTTCCAAAGCTACCACTTGAATGGGATTTAATTCATATTCATTGAGTACGTTTGTGGTTATGAGTTTGAAGAGGTTTTATTTGTTTCGTTGATGATTAATAACTTACCAACAGGTGAAGCTAGAGATGGATACAAGCGAGATGTCTTCGACCCAGGAGGAAGCATTTTTCCGACAGTAGTTAGTGAATTAAATGAATTAGGAAATAAATAAAGCCTTAAGATTCAGGACGAATCTTTAGGGATGGAAACGGGGCGGGTCGGGTACGGGTTTCATGATACTCGTCCCCGTACCCGCGAGTCAAACTCATCCTCGTCCCCGTCCCCGTACCCGTCGGGTATGTGATTTTCATCTCCATCCCTGTCCCCGTCGGGTATCAGGTATACCCGTACCCGTCAATTTTTTTATTTTAAAAAAAAAATGATATTTTTAAATTATTTTTTTATTATATTATAATTATAATTAAGTTATTTCTCTATCTCATATTATAATAAACAATCACACATAAAAAATATTAATTTTTTTTTAATATAATTAAATTGAAAGTGAGTATTAAATTAAAAATGAAAACAGGGACGGGTACGGGTATGGGTACGGGGCGGGTAAGTACATACCCGTACCCGATTTAATATATCACGTTTTACCCGTACCCGTACCCGTACCTGGTCAAACCGGGTATTCCCCGTCAAAGTCGAGACGGGTTCGGGTATTACCCGCGGGTACAAGTATATTTGCCATCCCTACGAATCTTCTCAAAGAAGGAGGGTATGATGTGAATCCAGCAGGGTAAAATTAAAGACTAACAAGTCCAAAGTCATATGATAAAGAAGAAGGATTAATGGGCTGGAATTTACGTAGTTTGGGCCTGAATAATTAAATAAGTCCATTATCTTTTTTTTTTTTAATGTAATTTTCTTTTTATTTTATTTTATTAAATAAATCTGATGGGTTTCCTTGCCTTTTAGGTTGCTAAGGGGAAATAAATGCTAGTGGGAATTAGTGGGAATTTATTGCTTAGTTAGTGGGCTAGTGAGGAGTCAATTCTAGTGGATATTAAGTGTTAGTGGAAATTTATGTCATCTTGCCCATCTAAGCTTACAAATAGGAACCTTTTGTAAAAATTTTAGAGGGAGAGAAAATGATTTATTCAGAATTTGGATATTTTTCCAATTAAGAGGATTTTCTCTCTCTAAGTTCTTAGGAACTACTTTTGATTCTTATCCTTGAATTTCCTAATTCAAAGTGGCAAATCTTCTTCAACTTATCAATCTTTAGGATTGTGACGTTCTTCTTCCATTTCTTATCTCAATCCATATTTTTTTTTCTTTTAATTTCTTAATTATGAGCTTTCCAACCTAGATAGATCCATAAAACGAATCCATCCCTCTGGGTTCATATCAGTAAGGGTAGGGATAACACCTCTTAGATTTGACATTTCAGCGACTCCATTATATAACACTTCACACAATTTCACTTCATACAACTCCTTGTTAGTCAGAATCTTTCATAAATAACCCTTCCTAAGATGTTTATCCACTTTTAAAATCAATGACTGACTTACAAATTAACACAACTTTATAGCGTGTTTTACTATCCCAAACTTCACCATTGGACTATCTTGATGGTTTATTTATTTAAATTTTCTAAAAACTTCTTTATTGTTTTCCTTTTTCTTCAATTATGCCAAAAACCCAAAATTTTCAGTGCAACAAGATTTTCTCCCATATCTTCAGCTGAATACCATATATTTTTCTCCCATTCAACCCAATGAAGCAAGATTTTCAATTTTGACGAGTCCAAAGTAGGTAGTCTCACTACTCGAGGAACATCAAGCCCATTAGTCATTAGAGTCAGTCTCAAACACATGGAACTTCAACACTATTATATGTATGAAATCTTAAGTTCAAATCATCTTATTGCAGCCATAAAAAAATTGCGTGCAACATCAAGTGCGGGTAATTAGGACCCTGAAGAGTGAAAATTTGTCTTCGTACCAATATTCAATAGGCTCGAAACTTCAAGATACATCACAAGTATGTCATTAGAAAAACATAACTAAGTTCACACGTGTTTCACATGTATGCTAGCAAGAAAGGATAACTAGCTATCAGTACCCTTGACCTGGTGCAAGGGCAAGGTTTCTTTTATGAAGTTCACAACAACAGAGGATAACTCCTCTCGATGATTACTGAATCTATGATCAGCCCCTTCAATGACATGCAACTTCAGGTTTGGTATGATCTTGGCAAACTCAAAAGCATCTTCCACTGGAATAATTTCATCGGAAGAACCATGAATTGTAAGGACCCTGTCATATATGATGATGCGATTAGTCATTTAGGCACATCTATGCATCAGGGTAATTTCATAGCTTCATCTATAGTTGCTACTAGCTACACCACTTTCATACCCAATGATACTACACAAGAAAACATGTTTCTACAGGCAGCTATTAAAATCAAACTTGTCAAGGGAATTCTTTCTATAAAATATGGAAATGTTCTAGAGGAAAATTCTTAAAAAATTGGACTTTGGCCATGAAAGAACAATGTAGGTTTATTTGTTCCGTAGAGAAAGTGAGTGATTATGCTTTTATTGCTTCTGCTATAGAAATATGTTTTGGTGAAACCATGCAACATCAACACACATAATTGATCAACAAAGAAGTTCAGCAAGAGGCAAAAAGCTGTTGCAGAAGTGACCAGACAACTTTTCTATTCACCTGCATTCTTTGTCAATCTGAAGGCATGCTTCATACATATTTGTACCCAACCGATCCATCAAACTTTCTACAGTTACACGGAAATCAAAAGTTTCTGCAACACAAGATGTATTTGGATGATTATATAATAATAAAATAACAAAGTACCTATGTGTAAGTGTGACGAAGACAAAGTGTGTTAAGGGGAGTGTACTGCTAACACTCATCAAAAGTTAACGCCTTGTCATATACTACATTATCAATGATAGCCATCAAACCTGTAGAAGTTTATCTGAAGTCACAAAGTTAATCAATTTGCAAGTACTGAACAAGATGGTAAACGATTACCACTGCCTACCATTTATTTTTTTCCTTTATCTTTTTCTTTCTTTTTTTCATCTTTAGAAGTTCTTATTATAATACTGTTCTGTGTATACCAAAAACTAATCTGAACCATGAGAGAGAGAGAGAGAAAGACAAACGAGGGAGGAGTGATAATGTGATAGATGATATGATGTTATAGGAAGAATGATATAATAGAAATGTGATAAGAATCTTGGGAGAACCACACTCTAAACTAATTGTAGTTGGAGAACCCAAGACCTTATACACTCCACTCTAGAATCTCATATTTCCAATTTGGGACTTCAAACCTTGCAATTGGATCTTAACAAAAACAAGAGGTGTTAAATGAGATTTTATATTGTTGAGCTGCTCACTGTTATTCGTTTTATTATCACTTCGAATTGAATGGTGATAAAATAAGGTAGTGAAATTCCTACTCTGCCTCAGTATCAAGTATGGGCCTTAACAGCAATAATTAGCGCCATGAATATAAATAATCACTCATTTTCTATTGATTGTGGAGTTGCCTATCGTGGTCATGAATATCAAGTATGGGCCACAACAAAGGTGGCTTTCATCTGGGTAGATTATTTGCATAAAGTGATCGTGTATGCTGCAGCTTAAACTAGAAGTTAATGATGAGCAGGCCTTCATTTCTTTTAGATATTTTATGTTCTTGTTGTTTAGAAGAGAAGCCTTCTCTTACCCTTGGTCGAAAATGAAACTTACGACTGTTGCATTTCAGCTGGAACTTTGTGCTTGTGATACAGTAAACCTTAATTCCAAATTTTAGTAGAAGTTCATAGGGAAAACAAAAGAAGTTATGGTTACCATGACGTCAAGAGTTTGATCACCATCCTTGTTCTTTATAAGTAAATTAAAATCCAACACAAGGTAAAATGACAAAATGCATTGTCCACTCTTCAACTCCAAAAGGCTTGAATGAGGGGGTATGTTTAATATAAAGTTCCATAATAGATCTCCACCTAACAGCTTAAGGGTTTAGGAGAGTTGGTTCATAACACGCATATCTAAACAATAAAGTTATAAAACAATTGTTAAAAACTATAATCAGATACCTATATTATTCAAGAATGAAAGAATGTGTATGAGATACCTAGGAAGTTTGAGGAACTCTGGCCCTTCCTAAATCAATTCTGAAATCTCAACTAATGTCCTTAGTTACAACTTACAAGTTAAAATAATTCCGTCCTCCTCTTAATTCCTTTTTGGGTGCTCCCTCACATAAACCTGTCTAATAGGCCTAACTCTACCAACAAGTCATGAGTAGACACTGAACAAATTGGTATATCTCTAAAATATGTGCTTGACCAAAGTCCAAAGGAAAATAAGCCCGAGTAAATGAAAGGCTACCTGACCTGCTCTTCTTAACATCAATGAAACCGTCCTTCCTAATTCTTTCCAAATAATCTTTTCCAAGGCGTTCTTCAATGCCTTCCTTCAGATCATAACGCCCAGAAAGGTTGACAACTGTTTTAATGTCATGATATTTTGAAGCATACAGAAGCACTATGTCACCTCCTGTGCCAAAAATACAGAAAATCATTAGTAATAGTTCAATTATGCAAGAAAACTTTTTTTTGGAGAGTGGGGGGAATTTGAGAAGATGATGCAATAACCACCCAAATGGAATTATGACTTTTCATCAACCTTAGTCCTTAACTATCAATCATATCATTTAAGAAATATAACAGAGATCAATTGAACACATATGTTAAAATGAAAGATGTTGGCCAATTTCATTTTTAGCACAGTTTTCCGAAATATGATCTGAAGTATTAACTATTCTAATGCTAGAAGTTTCGGGTAGGCATTATGGATCAGTTAAATGGAGGCTGATCTGGTTTTATATCAAAAGTGGATCAACTCTCTTCATATTGCATGATTTACATCATTCAAGGTTGCAATCTTAACATCCAAAGCATGGTTGACATGAAATCATTTTGACAAAGACGATTCTCATCATTTGTTAGGCATGTAATGAAACATGGTCAATAAATGATTGCATAAATCAGCATGGATAATCGTGTATCTAAAATGATATCTAGATCTATTTTTCTTAACTTATTCTTGTCTGTAGAAATATTTACAGATATGGATAAAAATTCAACCTACCTTTACTATGACCAACAATTGCACTGATTACACGGTTAGATTCACGGAAATGTTGAGTTACAGCATGTAAATCGTCAACCTCTCTCCAATAATTACCATACTGAAACAAACCTTCACTTTCCCTTCAATGAAAATCCAATACAGCTAAAGTTAAGACAAAACAAAGAGTGGAACAAGGCTAACAATCAAGAGCAAGCATGTGTAAACTGTAAATATAGAAACTAACACTCAGTTTTCAACAAGTGTTGTTGTATAAAATGTTCGATAGGAAGTTAGCTGAATAACTGCGTGTATATAGTATACTCATGGTAACAGAATTGACTTTTGGTAGTATACATTTTATTCTTCTCTCTGTAAGTTCTTGGAACTCTTTGATCTTAACGATTGAAATCCATGGAAACGTGAGAGAGAGAACTCAAAGAACTTAGAGAGACCAAGAAAATGTATATTACTCAATATTAATAAAAAGGAAATTCTGTTACAATGTATATATATAGGTATTCAACTACCTACCTAACTCTATACAGTAACACGCAAAAGAGTTCCATATGTTGGGACCTAACACCCAGTTCTCAGCTTCTAGCTTATCATTTTGATAGTAAAATTCTGAATTTCTAAAAAACGAACACGTACTTAATATCTTCAGATTTAGAGAAGCAATGGTTCTGCTCTGTATTGATATAAACTTACCCATTTCCAGAAAAGTCAAAACGGAAAGAGCTAATTTTGGCATTTTCCAATGCAACAGCAAGGGTCAATATCAGACTGGTATCCTTAAAAGAAAAAGAAGAAAAAAAATCAATGAGAATAATTGGGCACTAAAGAAATTAAATAATAATAATAATAATATATGCTTATATTGTAAATTAGAACAATTTGAAAAATGATTGTCAGTCTTACTCTCCCCTACACAGGCATTGTCAATATTTTCTTTTTCTCTTAATCATCTTAAACTTCCCTTCCTATAGTTCTATCTCTTTTTTTTTTTTTTTTTTTTTCCTTGAA